CCATGGCCGGAGGAGCTGAAGACCCGGGCCACCGCCTCCGCCACCTCCGGATCCGCTGCTTCCTGCCGCCTTCCCTCCCCCGGCCCAATCGGGACAGACGAGCTGCCCGAGTAAAGGGATTCCAGGAACCCGAGCCGCCCAAGGAAGCCGACACCGGCGGGGTGCGGAGAGGGGGGGCCCGGCCCAGGTGTCCAAGGCCCTGCCAGGGCCAGCTGCGCGCTCCCCGGGAGGCTGGGCGGTCTGCGGGGCCTGGGTTGTAGAGCGGGAAACACGGATCACAAGCAAGGAGCTCACTCTGCGAGCGCTCGCTTAATCCTTGCAACAGCCAGAAGCGGTGGAAGTAAGGTTCCCCTGGTACAACCTGAGGCACATCCCGTCCTTCCTCTGCCCACCACCCTCCAAGCTCCCACCTCCTTCACCGTAAAAGTGGGCTTTGTTCCTCAGCCCATATGGCCTTGCACGACCTGCCCCCATTCCAGCCCTGTCCTCACTCCCCCCCACCTCGCTCACAGCTTCAGCTGTTCCTCCACTCCCAGGCACAGTCCTGCCCCAGGGCCTTTGCTTGTGCTGTGCCCTGTGCCCCACCCGGACCGCTTCTCCCAGATCGCCAGGTGGTTCCTTCCCTCACTTCCTTCAGCTCTTTCCTCAAATGTCACCTCCTCTGACTTCCTCCGATCTCTCTTCCCAGCTTTCGTTTTCTCCCTCGCACTGAGCATCACTTGACAAACCAGATTATTTTGACTTATCCTTCTTGCGTCCTGTCCTCCCAACTGGAAGGTCAGCTCCGGGAGGGCCGGGGTTCTGGTCTCTTGTTCCCCTGCTGTGCAAGGGGGCCCAGTGCCAGGCACACAGGGAGCAGGCACTCGGGCAATATTTGATGAGGGAATAAGTGGACCCCCAGGTTACAGATGAAGGAGGCTCCAGCGCCAGGAGGCCTCTGTAAGAATCCCCTGGGAACACAACACTAGGCATCAGGAAATTTGGCTCAATAAACAGTGGTGGAAAGCTGTACCCCATGTAAAAGAGGAGCCTCCCGCCTCGAAGGACTCTCAGAATCCAGACATTGATGGGAAAAGGCTTTGGGTGATGTAAGAAAATGTATGTAAATGTTTAAAGCCTACAAAACATGACACACACCACAACATGGATGAGCCTTGCACACATGATGCTCACTGAGAGAAGCCAGACACCAAAGGCCACACAGTGTGTGGTTCTATTTATGTGAAATGTCCAGACCAGGCAAATGCTCAGAGACAGTAAGCGGATTCGTGGAGAGAGGGACTGGGGCTGACTGCTTAGCGCCACCGGGCTTCTGTTTGGAGTGATGGAATGTTCTGGAATTAGATTGTGCCAATGGTTGCACAACTTTGTGAGTACACTGGAAACCACAGAATTGTACACATTAAAACCTTTAAAAACTGAAAAGAAACCCGAAACGATCAAAATGGCACTCTTTCAGGAAGACATATTCATGTGCTAAAAGGATGTAAGAGACCTGCCCAGGAGAGATAAACGCCAAATTTGGGATGGAGATACCTGTGCCGGGGAGCTCACACCTGGGGGGGCGGGGGTGGGGGAGTTCACAATATCCAGTTGTATCAGTCTCCAAGGGTTGTCATAATAAAGTACCACTAACGGTGGCTTAAAACAGATTTATTTTGTTTACAGTTCTGGAGGCCAGATGTCCAAAATCAAGTTATCAGCACGCCAAGACCCGGGGTCGGGTCCTTCCTTGCCTCTCTGAACTTCTGGTGGTGGCCAGCAATCCTTGGCATTCCTCAGCAGCTTGCGGTACTCGGATGTCTGCCTTTGTCATCGCATAGCTGTCTCCTTTCTGCGTCTGTGTCTAAATGTTCATCTTCTTATAAGGACACCAGTCATACTGGATCAGGCCCACCCTACTCTGGGGTGACCTCATCTTTTCACTAATTATATCTGCAAATAAGGTCACATTCTGGGATCCTGGGATAAGGACTTCGACATATGTTTTGAGGGGACATAATTAAATCTGTAGCATGGGTGTTGGTCAAATTAGTCTCCAAAAGTTTTAGAGTATTTTATTTATTTATTTGTTTGTTTGTTTATTTATTTCTTGATTTTTATTGATTTCAGAGAGGAAGGGAGAGGGATAGAAACATCAATGATGAGAATCATTGATTGGCTGCCTCCTGCACGCCCCCTACTGGGGATCGAGCCCACAATCTGGGTTCGATGCCCCTGACCGGAATCAGGAACCAGGACCCTTCAGTCCGCAGGCCGAAGCTCTATCCACTGAGCCAAACTAGCTAGGGCTAGAATGTTTTAAATATTCCATTAAACACTGAAGTCTCAGAGTTTCCTCAATAAGTTAAGCATAGAATTACTATATGACCCAGCAATTCCACTCCTGGTGATGGACCCACGAGAATTGAAAACAGGTACACAAATGAAAACCTGTGCATGAACGCTGAACGTTCACAGCAGCACAATTCACAATGGCCAAGCTCAAATGTCCATCAGTGAATAAACACAGTGTGTCCATCCACACACCGGGATATTAGTCAGAAAAGGAGTGAGGCACTGACACTTGCTATAATGTGAATGGGCCTTGAAAAAAGGTGCTGAGAGAAGCCAGACACAGAAGGTCAGAGTGTGTAACCCCAGGTGAAATGTCCAGAACAGGCAAATCCAGAGACAGAAAGTGGATTCCTGGTTGTCAGGGGCTGGGGGGCGGGGGTGGCGGCAGGCAGGCCTGGGAGCATCTTGGGTAGTCTTGGGCACATCTGGCTCAACCTCCTACAAAAACACACACTCACAAGCTTGAAAATCAAATTCCACTTTATTATTTCTTTTAATTTAAAAGTCCAGATTAAGCAGTGGCAAAGGGGCCACCTTCATGACGGTCGGTTAGCTGAACGGGGCAGGGGTCAGTCCCAGTTACTCCATTCTCAGGTGCAGGAAGTCGAGGGCCACAGGCGGAAGGCTCTTCCCCAAGCATGAGAGCATGTCCTGCAGTGTGCCTGCTTGCGTGGGGCACTGTGGTCAGCACCTTCGGGGAGTCCCTCCCTGTGTCAGGTATGGGTTTCCACTGCCCTGTGTCCTGGGGCAGATCCCTAGAGCCACTGTAGCCTGTGTCACCCTCCCTACACCAGTGTGGAGAGCTGCTGTTGGTCCCCTTGTGTCCTGGGTCATACTGGCCATGGGTGGTGTTCCCACATCCCTGTAGTATGACATGCTCTATGAGGCCACAGGGTTCTATGTGTGCTGTGCATGGCAGGTGACTTTTCTGGATTTGGGGTGCTGGGGAGGTTGAAAGCTAGGGGATGGTGTAGAGTAATGTTAGGGGGCTGGAGCTCCCAACGTGCAGGATTGGGCCTGGCCCCAAAGGGTGGACCCCCATCCCTCCTCCATGGGGTGGGGGGCCGCGAGCAGAGGTTGGTCTTCGCTGGATCCCCACGAGCTGACCAACACCTTCATAGGTGCTCACTGCAACAGGAGAGAGGAGGGGAGTCATGGATGGGGGACGCCATCCCCTTCAGTCCCCACCACCATCCTAGGGGACACCAGAGGCCACCTTCCTTAAGCAGCGTCAAACAGATGTCAGGGTAGGGGGCTTGGAGCTGACCCCATCTACCCGGGAGCCAGACGACACCCAGACCAATTGCCA